GTGTCTTGTTTTTTCTGTTATCTGATCAGTCACTCTATGTCATTTGACTGGATAATTTAAATCCATTCACATTTAAAGTAATCAATGATAGGTAAACATATACTGTTATATTTTGTTAATTGTTTTCTGGCTGTTTTATAGTTCCTTTGTTCCTTTGTCCTTCTTGCTGATTTCCATTGTTGTTTGATTATTTTCTGCAGTGGTGTGCTTTGATTTTTTTCTTCATCTTTTGTGTATATGCTAAAGGTTTTTTTCATTCTGATTATCATGGAACTTACAAAAAATCTTACATTTTATTTGAAGCTTGTAAAAGTTAGTTTGCATTGCATGCAGCATTACTGGCTTATTTTCTCTCCAACATTTTATGTTTTTTATTTCACAATTTACATCTTTCTATAGGTCCATTGGCAAATTATTTTAGCTAAAGTTATTTTTTAGTTTGTCTTCTTAACCTTTATACTAGAGTTAAAAAGTGATTTATACACCACCTTTATAATATTGGAGTATTGTTTTATTGTTGCTCAATTACAGTTGTCCCCATTTTCCCCCCATTAATCTCCCTTGCCCTACCCACTCCCACCTCCCACATTCAATCCTCCCTCACCACGTTGTGTTTGTCCGTGGGTCCTTTATACATGTTTCTTGACAACCCTTCCCCTTCTTTCCCTCGTTATCCCCCTCCCCTCCCCTCTGGTTACTGTCAGTTTGTTCTTTATTTCCATGTCTCTGGTTCTATTTTTGCTCACTTGATTTTTTTGTTGTTGTTGATTAGGTTCCATTTATAGGTGAGATCATATGTTATTTGTCTTTCACTGCCTGGCTTATTTCACTGAGCATAATGCTCTCCAGTTTCATCCATGCTGACACGAAGTGTAGGAGTTCCTTCTTTCTTTCTGCTGCATAGTATTCCATTGTGTAAATGTACCACGGTTTTCATCATCCTAATCCCAAAGGCAGACACAGGCACAACAAAGAAAACTACAGGCCAATATCACTGATGAACATAGAAGCTAAAATCCTTTTAAAAATTTTGGCAAACTGCATCCACCAATACATTAAAAAGATCATACATCATGATCAAGTGGGATTCATCCCAGGGATGCAAGGAAGGTACAATAGTCACAAGTCAATAAACGTATTGGAGTTTATATAAATGGGTCTATATACTAACCATTACCAGTGAGATTTTTAACTTTTATGTGTTTTCATGTTACTAATTATTATATTTTTATTTCAGCTTGAAGAATTTCCTTCAACATTTCTTGTAAGGCAGTTTTCCTGGTGGTAAACTGTCATGTTTTGCTTTTTGGTTGGTTGTTTTTTTGGTGGGAAACTCTGTCCTTCATTTCTGAAGGATGGCTTTGTTGCCCAAAGCAATCTTTGTTGGTAGTTTTTTCTACCAGTATTTTTTATAAATTATACCGCTCTGTCCTGGCCTGCAAGGTATCTGCTGAGAAATCCACTGATAGCTTATGGTGGTTCCCTTGTAAGTGACCAGTCTTTTTTTCTTCCTGCTTTCAAAATTATCTCTTTGACTTTGATTTTTGAAAGTTCGATTATAATGTGTCCTTGTGAAGTCCTCTAGTTTGAAACTGTTTGGGGACTTTAGAGCTTTATGTTCCTGGATGTCCATATCTCTCCTCAAATTTGGGAAGTTTCCAGCCATTATTTCTTTAAATGAGCTTTATGGCCCTGTCCCCGTTCTCCTTTTATTAGCCATAATGCATGTTTTTTCCCCTGATGGTGTCTCACAGTTCTCGTGAGCTATATTCACTCTTTCATCCTTTTTTATATTTTTGTTCCCCTAATTTGCTAATTTCAAATAGCTTATCTTTGAGTTTGAAGATCCTTCTTCTTGATCAAGTCTGATATTGATGTTCTCTATATAGTTTTCCATTTTATTCATTGTACTCTCCAGCTCCAGAATTTTTGTTTGGTACCTTTTTATGATCTTTTATTTAACTTCTTGTTTTGTTAATGTACTGTTTTCCTGATTTTGATTAGTTGTCTATCTGTGTTCTTTTGCAGTTTTCTGAGCTTCCTTAAAACAATTATTTTGAGGTTTTCCCCCCATAAGATCTCCATTTATTTGCAGTTAGTACTAGTTATTGTGTTCTTTAGGTGGTATCAATTTTCCTTGAGTTTTTGTGTTTCTTGAAGCATTGCATTGATGTGTATACACTTGATAGAGCAGTCGCGTTTTCCAGATTTTATAGACTGGCTTCAGTGAGAAAATACCTTTACCTGTGAGTGGGTGCAGGGATGCCAGTTGGATGGGGTGAGGCAGTTCCAGCTCCAGGGAAGAGGCAGTGTCATAATCTCCTTAAAGTTCTGTCAGCTGTCATCAACATCAGCAAAGACTGAAAGAGTCCCCAGTACCAAGGCTGCATGTGTCTGTAGCAGCAGTGCAGTGCATTAGGGTTTTCAGTGGTGAAGCCTGCTATAATCCTCCTGATCTCTTTATCTCCCATGGTAGATCATGGCTGAGGGGATCTTTTAACCCACTTATAGTGGCTGTGTCAGTGGTGTTTGATGTATGAGTGATCATGGAGTGGCTACGGAGCCAGACTCTGGATTGAAGGCATGCATGTACCTCCTGGAATGGCTCTGGGGTCTGGGGTAGTGGTGGTACTAGTGCCTGGGGTATAGGCACCCATGCTGCAGTGTTAATAATAGTGTGTGATATGAAGGTGATTGGGAAGCAGCCACACAACTGGGTTCCAGAGCACAGGCTCACAGAGCTACAGAGGCTCTGGGGTCTGAGGCATGGGCTCCATTGATTTAAGTGCATGCACTTGCAGAGCAGTAATAGAACTAGACTCTAAATAGCAGGTATATGTGGTGTATAGATGAGTCTGATGTGGTGGTGGTTTGGGTGTCTTAAGTTTGGATACTTATGGAGAAGCTATGGTAATGGGTTCTAGAGGACAGGTGCATACACTGCAGCAGTACTCCAGTTTCCATATTGTGAACACTTGCAGTGTGACCATGGGTCCAGGATTCAGAGCACAGGTGTGCATAGAATGATAGTGTCTCTGGGATCTGCGGCATGAGATATCATGTGTTGTCAGTGGCTCTGGTGTCTGAAATACTGGTATAGGCAGAGTGGCTACAGAGCCAGGGTTTGCAGGATGGGCATGTGTGGAAGAGCTGTGATGTTGGCATCTGGTGGCAAGTACATATAAAGCAGTCATGGTTCTGGGGTCTAGAGAAAGCACAAGGTTGGGTGTGGCAGCCTTAGTACTGGATGGCACAACAGAGGCTTCTTTTTGTAAGGAGGTCTCAGCAACATCCCATTTTAAGGAGAGTCTGTGGTAGTGATGGGTATTGGTTACCGCAGTGGCAAAAGCTGCCCGTATCCTCTGTGGTGGAGACTGCTGAGGTCCACACCACCAAACATTTTGAGGTCCTCTGCTGTTGAAACTGGAAATTCATGGCTGTCCTGGGGGCTGTTGAGGTCCTCAGTGGCAAAGGCTGCTGGAGTCCTCCACAAAGCAGACCACTGGTATCTGCATTAGTACCTGTTGTGTGGCTGATACTGTTAGCACCTGCCCTGTTTCTTTGTTCTTAGCATTCTCAAGATGTCTCCATCAAATTAATCTTCCTAACAATTCTTCCTGTATGATTAGTCTCCATTTTTTGTTCTACTGTGTTGCTACAGGTACTTAATTAGACTTGTTAGCCCTTGCATGGCTATTTTCATTCATGTATAACTGTCTGTTGTTTTTTGTACGTGGACAAAGGCCAGTATCTTCTACTCTGTCATCTTTCTGCCATTACTCAGTGAGATCTTTTTTGTCTTTGTATCTTGCAACAGTTTTTTGTCTTAAATCTCTCTTATTTGATGTTAGCACAGCTACCCTTGTTGCTATCTTTAGGTTACTATTTGCTTGGAATAACATTTTCCATCCTTTCACCTTTGACCTATTTATGTTTTTGGTTCTAAAATGATTCATTTGTAGACAACATAAAGACAGGTGATGTTTATCCATTATGTAAATATCTGTCTTTCAATTGGATAGCTTAATTCACTTATATTTCAAATAATTACTTATAAGAAGAACTTGTACAATTTTGCTATTTATTTTCTATAAGCTTATATATTTTTTAAAGATTTTATTTATTTATTTTTAGAGAAGGGAAGGGAGGGAGAAAGAGAAGGAGAGAAACATCAATGTGTGGTTGCTTCTTGTGCGCCCCCTACCGGCGACCTGGCCTGCAACCCAGGCATGTGCCCTGACTAGGAATTGAACCGGCAACCCTTTGATTCACAGTCCAGCGCTCAATCCACTGAGCCACACCAGCCAGGGCTATAAGCTTATATCTTTTATGTTCACCAATTCTTGCATTACTGCCTTCTTTTGCATTTAATTTTATTTTTTCTTGTGTACCAATTTGATTCCATAAATAGTAAAATTTAAACCAGTATTTTCCTTAATGTTTGTAGGCTGTTTAAGTCGCTTTGATTGTTTTTTGTTTTAATTTTTCTACTTTGGAATTAAACCTGTTTTACAGTAGTCACATAATATAAATGCCTGATATAATTACAAATTATTTAATAAACATTCCCAAATATTGCAGGAAACACTTTGATTCAATGGAGCACAATTTGAAAATGATCAATTTAGCCATTGCAACTTTTTCTTAATAGTTGTCTTCCAAAGTCTCCTTGGGTCCTAAAATAATAGCTTCATAGAATTGAACTAGAGCAGTTTTCAGAATCCAAATGGGTTCTTCTTTCCCTAATTATGTCACCCACCAATGCAGGTAGTGGTTTTCTAGTATTAAATATATCCATGGCTGGTGACTTCACAAACACCTTCAATAGGCAATCTTACACTCAATTCATCTTTATCACTAAGAGTCCTTTTGAAAGGTTATTCTGAATCTTTATTTTAGTAATAGAAGGCTTTTTGCTTCCCTTTTTGTCCTTTTCTTGAATTAGTGGGATTTATATTTGCCTCTGTGTTTAGCCTTTATGAAGTAACCAGTATTCTTACCTTCTGGTTTGGCTGTTGAGGGAGTGTAAAAATAGACTTCCAGTAGGTCCAGGTAAAGAACACAAAGATGGCATGGTAGAATATGAGGTAGATAACTGAAATTTAAGAAAATAAAACAGTGTTTACACTATCCTTTTGCCAATTTCTAAGAGTTCAAAAAGATATAAAGCTCAACAACAAATTTGTACTTTGTTTTTCTAGTAGCAAGTATTTTTTTTAGCATTACTATCAAACATTAATTTTACTTTTTCTCACATAGTGACAGTAACAAGTTATAATGCCAAATTTTGAACCAGTGGTGTTTTGGAAGTTGCATGTTTTAGAAGTTGGCATGCAATTCTGGGAGTAAAGAGGTAATGTCCCATATGACAATAAGGGGATACCACTGTGACCGACTGTCATTAGCTCTACCACTTTGGGTGATGAAAAATAATGACAGTATTTGAACACCACTATATAGTTTAGAATGTGCATTCATAGTATCTCATTTAATTTTTTAATAAGTTTCTGAGATAGGTAATCGGATAGAGATAGTTGATTAACTATTGGAGGAGTTGATTAGCCATAGGGGTTGTTGATTATTCAAATTCACACAGCTACTCTATAATGTAGACTTCTGACTCTAAATCATAAGTTCTTTTCAATAGCTCCAGAGACTACACACTTTTGAAATATGAGGTGTACCTTAGGGACCATGGTAAAAGTGGTTATCCACTACTTATCTTTTTATGCCCTTTGCCTCCTAGATAGTTCTTCTGATATGGGAAATTTCTGCATTCTCCACAAAAGTCACTGTAAGACTGAAGGTCAGCTTACTATTTCATTTTGAATTCTTGCATGGGAAAGACTTATTCCCTCATTAAAAAATTATTAAATTTATTTGGGTGACATGGGTTAACAAAATTATGTCTTTCAACTGTACAACTCAGTAATATATTGCCTGTAGATTGAATTGTGTGTTTTTTTCTGAATTTGACTGGTGAACACAAGGTCTTATTACTTCAATCCATCAGAAATACTCAAGGGAATGATGTTAAAGACATGCTAATAGGGCTGAACCTTTCAAACATTTATGGCTGAATTTTTAAAAAGTTGTATTCTCTTGATACAGTGCCCTCAGCCCTATAGTATAAGATTTCTTTTTATGTGGTTGATTTGTGTAATTATAAAATCTCCTTTAAAATTTAAGCAGCATAAAGTAAAAAGTAAATGTCCATCCCACACATACATCTAATTTCCCACTTCCCCTTCCTAAGTCATAATACCTGTTTCGTTTGGTGGTTGTTGTATATCATTCCAGACCTTATTTGTGTATGTTTCTATAAATATATATAAATATAATACACATATAGAATTTTTATATTTAAAAGTTTTTCATTGTATTTTTTTGAAAGGTAATACAAACACAGGGTTCAAAATTTGGAGGTATAAAATAGTACACAGTAAAAAGTCTCCATTCTATCCCTGTCCCTTAGCAACCCAGTTTCCCTCCCTGGAATCAAGAAATGTCACCGTGTCATGACTTTATTCTGTATTTTTTCATATTTTGCACATACAAGCATCAAAACAGTGTGCATTTTCACACAAATTGCAGTATACAACACAGACTGTTTTTGACATTCTTTTTCATTTGCTATAAGTTACATATTCACTTAGCATAACTTAGAAAGAATGAAATTATTTTTTTAAATAAACATTGACTTTATTTTTAAAGATTTTATTTATTTATGTTTAGAGAGAGGGGAAGGAAGGGAGGAAGAGAAGGAGAGAAACATCAATGTGTGGGACAAACATCAACCAGTTGCCCCTTGCACACCCCCTACTGGGAACTTGGCCTGCAACCCAGGCATGTGCCCTGACTGGGAATAGAATCAGTGATCTTTTGGTTCACAAGCTGGCGCTCAGTCCACTGAGCCACACAAGCCAGGGCAAGAGTGAGATTCTTCATTCTCCGTCTAAAAAGTTGCATGGAGGGGAATCGAGGTGGCAGAGGAGTGAGTGGAAGTCACACTGACCTCCTTGCAGGACCAACCTGGAATTACAACTAAGTTGTGGAGAAATCGCCTGGAGCAAACAACTGAACAATAGCAAGTGAGGAGCCTTGTAACCTCAAAAACAGAAGAATCAGCTTTAGCACAATCTAACTGGTAAGGAGTGCGGTACAGATTCAAGAAGGCAGGCAAGATGCCCACGGGTGGCAGTACCAGAAGGATATTGAAAGGGCCAGTTGGATCCCACTAAGAGCAGGGCCTAAACCAAAAGCAGGGATCTCTAGCTCACAGCACCAGCCCCCAAAAGAACACAGAAAACAGCCAGCTGCAAAAAGCGGCCGGGTTGTTCTTTGCCAGAGACAGGCAGCTGGAGATGCAAAGAGCTGTTTAAAGTGCCAATGCATGAATTTTTATTTGCAGCCACTTACCCCGGTCTCCGGCAAAGGCAGGGGCAGAGTGGGCTAGAGACATCTGAGGAGAGACTGGGGAAGGAGGCTTTGGGGAGAGAACTGAGAGAGTAGCTGGTGGGATCTCAGTGCTGACTCATCCCCCATGTGGCAGCAGCCATCTTGCTCAGGCAGAGACCTCTCCCCCTAAGCGGCACCAGTGTCAGAAGACCCAATAGCCCCACCCCCAGGTGGGATTCCAACCCACACTGTGCTATCCAAGCCACCTACTGAGTGCAGAGTAGCAGCCACAGGCAGTAGATCCCTGACTAAAGGAGGCGCAGAGAGGTCTGGAGACACTTGAAGAGAGACTGGGGATGGAGGCTTGAGGAGAGAACTGAGAGAGAAGCTGGTGAGATGCCAGTGTGGACTCCTCCCCTATATGGCAGCAGTGAGAGAGGACCCAATAACCCAGCGACCAGGAGGGTCTCTCCCCCGCCCTGAGCTGTCTAAGGCAGCCTGCTGAGTGCAGAGTGTCTAGATTAACAGCTGAAGGAGATAGTCACAAACAGTAGATTCCTGGAAATCTTGAACAGGCTGCCAATGGTCAGACAGGGATGACATCTGACATCATCAGAGGCCAATCCAGAAAGTAAAAGCAGTAGTCCCCAACCACAGAAGTTCACACGACAAAGTCAGGAAACCAAGATAGATCAACTTAAGAAGCAGAAGCAAAAGAGAAGAGTCTCACAAATAATAGGAAGACAAAGAAACACGCCCCACCTGAAGGGAAAGGAGTAATCCCCAGAAAGAGAACTAAATGAAATAGAGGCAAGGAAACGATCAGATATTGAGTTCCAAACAACAGTTCAAAGGAAGCTCAATGAGCTCAGTGATCTCAGAGAGAATTACAAAAAACTACAGGGAAAATACAGGGCACTTACTGCAAACTATATCAGCATGAAAAAAGGATATAGAAACTATCAATAAGAGACAAGAGGAAATGAAGAATACAATTTCTGAACTGAAGAACAGAGTAGAAAGAATAAAAAACAGGCTAGATGAAGCAGAGGATCAAATCAGCGAGCTGGAGGACAAGGCAGAAAAAAAACTCTCAAAAAGAGCAAGAAAATGAAAAAAGGCTCAAAAAGAATGAAGAAGCATTTAGGGAAATGCAGGACAACCTGAAACACAATAATATCTGCATAATAGGGATACCAGAAGGAGAAGAGGAGGAGGAAGGGATAGAGAACCTGTTTGAAAAAGTAACGATGGAAAACTTCCCTAATGGGAGGAGAGAAAAAGTCACACAAGTCCAGGAAGCACAGAGGGTCCCATTCAAGAGGAACCCAATGAGGCCCACTCCAAGACACATCATCATTAAAATGGCAAATATCAAAGACAAACAAAGAATCCTAAAGGAAGCAAGGGAGAGAGGTAGTAACATGTAAGGGAGCCCTAATACGGCTAGCAGCTGACTTCTCAACAGAAACACTACAAGTCAGAAGGGAGTGGCAAGAAATATTCCACGGAATAAAAAGCAAAGGCCTGCAACCAAGACTGCTCTACACAGCAAGGCTCTCCATTAAAATGGGAGGTGAAATAAGGAGTTTCCCAGAGAAAAGATGGCTAAAAGAATACACCTCCACCAAACCAGCACTGCAAAATATACTAAAGGGGCTGCTAAGATGAAGAGTCTATGAATACCCAGATCCTTTCACAGTTGCCAATACTTGATATTACCAATATTTTTAATGCTTGTTAATCTGATTGTGACAAGATGTGTTATTTTAATTGTTCCTCTATTATTTGTTGAAACCAAACCTTTTTTTTGTATATTTCTTGCCTATGTCTATTATTTTTAAAAAGCTTTAAATGACTTTTGGGTATTCTTTATCCATTTATTGATTAAAGGTTTGTAGAATTCTTTTCCCTAAAAAATAAACAACTATTACCCCTTTTTTAGATGTGTGGCAAATACTTTCCCATTCTATTACTTGTCCTTTAACTTTTTTATATGTATATTACTATATAGTCTTAAATGTTTAATATAGTCATATTGTCAATATTTTACTTTGTAGCTTCTGGGTTATAATATTTTACTTCAGGGTAAGAAAAATATTAGTTTGTATTTTCTCCTAAAACTCCTTAGATTCTACATATTGATTTTTAAGTCACCTGTATATTTCCTGCATAATGGGTAGAATAGGGCTCTATATTTGTTTTATTTCAAGTAATAATGATCCATGCACCTTATTTGTTGAATAAGCCTTATTTTACCTACTGATTTGAAATATCAACTTAATCATATATTTCATTGTTAGACAGATATATAGAGTTGTCTATAGAATGCTCATTATCTTTCATTGACCTACTTAATTATTTCTGTGCTGGTGTCATGTTGGTTTAATTGCTGAGACTTTATAATGGTTTTAAATTTTTTAATATTTTATAATTAACTTTGACTTCTAAAAAACTAAATAAAATCAATTTGCATTTAAGAAAGAAAGAAAGAGAGAGAGAGAACTGCTACCTTTTGTGACAACATGGATGGAACTGGAGAATATTAAGCTAAGTGAAATAAGCCAGTTGATGAAAGACAAATACCATATGATCTCACCTATAAGTGGACTCTATTCAACAAAATAAACTAACAAACAAAATAAACCACAGGCATGGAAACATGGAGCAGACTGAAAGTGACCAGAGGGGATGGGA